TAGGCGAATGGCTGTGGGGGCGCCACAGTTTACCCTCCCATAGGCGCTCTTCTGGGAGCAGACAAACAGCGGGGGCAGAGGGTTTGAGCCCTGGGACACAGCCCAGTGCCGGGGAGCTGGGGCAGGCCTGCTCTGGCAGGGGTGAGCACCCATTCCTCCCTTTCCCTTCCCCGTACTCTTAGCAAGCCCCAACTGGCCTACAGAGCCCTTCATGAGGAGCTGCCCGGCCCCAAGGGCGGGTTCATGAGGGACCCTGCAGATGCTATGCCGCTGGGATGGGGGCACGTGCTTTGCAGCAGTGGGGGGCAGGCCAAGGGTCCTGAGGCTGGGGGTCACACTGGGCAGCCTGCAGGGGCTCAGAGTCTCTGACGTCTGCTGCTCCCCCAGCTCCCTGCTCCCTGTCAGCACTGCCCTCCTTAGAACCCCAAGGACCGGGTGGGGAGCTCAGAGACTAGGTGTGCCCCCCAGCTCTCCAGCCAAGCCACACGCAGACCATAGACCAGCTTCATCCAGAGAAGCGGGTGGGCTCTGCTCCTGTGGGTAGGGGGCCTCGCAGCAAGCGGCTGAGGAAGGGGCCAGGCTTAGCTCTTACTCTCGGCAAAGAGAAGTGAGTTCCCGCCTACCCAGGCTCACCCACACCAGCCCCTTCTCGGGATCCAGGGCAGCTGGAGAAGAAACCAGAGCCCTGCCCAGTGTAGCTCGGCTGACCAAAGCCCCGCGTAAACACAGCTGTGGCAGGGCAGTGTCCATTGACGGAGCTGTGGTCGTTCGGGACCGAGGCTGTCTACACACAGGGCCTACGCCGATATGGCCTCCGTTGTGTAGACACATTCTGGGCATTTAGGGTCAGGTCTCCAGCCAGCCTCTGGTGCCCTCCAAGCCATCGGGAGTTGGATCAGGCACTAAGCCCTTCGTAACTGGGCTGGACCGAGCGCCCCTGGAGCGGAGGCAGCTCCATGTGCCATCCTCCTGCTCTCTGGGCTGGGGCTCCGCAGGGCAAGCCAGCGTTTGAAGAGGCTGGGGCAGTGGAGCTCGCCGTTCTGCAGCATTTATAGTTAAGGAGCAGGCTGAGCAACTCACTTCCAAATGGGCAGAGAAATCCGACCTGGGCCCCAGGACTAGCCTCCGGGCCTGCAGTTCCTTTGCTTCGTGGTGGGGTGACAAAACTGAGTGTATACTAGACACTTGGCAGCTGCTACGCTGTCATTACCCCCACCCTGTACGTACCCGCACAGACACACGCAGCCTTTCTACCACGCAACGTGGGCCAAGACCACTTTGTGCCTGGACCTGGGACCTCCTCCTGGCCGGCGTTGGGCTGTCTCCTCGGCAGATCGGAAACGAGGCCGGTTTCCAGGGTCCTGCCCTATGCGGGGAGACACGGACCCTTCAGCGTCTCCACGCGGCCTCCTGCCAAGGGCCTGCGTACCGGAGCCCCGTCACTGTTTGTAGCAAAGCCGCTTGGGCCGTGCTAAGGGCCAGGTGTCCTGAGAGCTCAGGGCCAATGCACAACCCAGGGGATTGAGACAAACCCGCAGGGAGAAGGGGAGAAGGAGCGAAAACAGAAATGTCCTGCTCCAGAGCTGGGCGCGTGAGGTGGTGGGCAGGGGAGAACAATTAGAAGTGTTGGTGTGTGCAGGTGTGTGTAGCACTCCCTGACCCAGAAAGTGTCTCATTGCGGCACCAGGCCTTTTCGACACCGCCCCCTGCCAGGGGTCACGGAGACAGAGCCTCCCCGGCTGGGGCTCCCCTCAAGCCGGCACCCCTCCTTGGTGTCAGACGCAGACCCTGCTGCAACCCTTGCAGTGGGGAGCTCAGCGCTGGGGCACCCAGTAGCCCCGGCTGTGCAGAGGGGCAAAGCAGGTGGTGCTGTTAGCAGTGGGCACGCTGGTGGGGGGGGCTGCACTGCACCTGTTTGCCAGAGCTGTCCTCCGGGCACAGAGCCGCCGTGCTGCTGGGGCCCCCCCACCTTCTCTCCCCTGTCACCTGCAAGGAGCCCCGGAGGGGTGTTTGCAGAAGCAAGCAAAGGAGCCCTCTCCTCCCTCGGCCAGCCGCTGGCAGAGCGGGCACGAGCCAGGCCACACCCCCGGGGGAGGACGCGCACTGGGCCCACTGAGGGATCGGAAAGCCGATGTGGCCAGGGCGTGGCTCCCTCTGTGGCACGTGCGTGGGCAAGGTCTCTGTCTCCCGGCAGGGAGCTGAACGCAGAACCGCTCCCACAACACCCTTCAACCAGCCAGAGAGCCCCCGAGGCCGCCCCTCATGTCAGCCACCGCCACAGGGGACTCATCCCCTGGCAGGCCCCCC